TATTGCACTTAGGTGCTTCAACTTTACCTGTAACCCAACATATTTAATAGTAAATAAATGATCACTAAATCCAGCATAAATTGCCAAGATTCCTGTTATTAGACACCTACACTTGAATCTTTAATTAACTGCTTAATTCCCTGTATGTTTTCTGTAAGCAAGTATCATCAAATCTTCTGTTTCTTTTTTCTGTACATTCATCATTACATTGCCATTACAGCGTCTTCATATGTTAACACTATTGGAACCATCAGTGCAAGGCTGTGTTCTGCCTTTTAAACTCCTATGTCTATGGCAATTAAAATTAAATTAAGATTTTTCTGAAAGATTCAAACAAAGCTAAGTTTCCAGGTAAATTTAGAAACAGTTCTAGCTGGTGTAAGTATAGCAGAGCTAAATAGCCCCAAGTAGATAAGGAGAATGTAAGAAACATTAGAGACAAGTGTTAAGATTAGGCCAGGGGTCCTACAAGATGGGTCATCAGGTAAAGGTGCTTATTGTTAAGCCTGACAACTTGAGTTCCATTCCCATAACCCACATGGTTAAAGTAAAGAACTAACACCCTCAAGTTGCCCGTACCTATCATAGCACATGCATGCACACACATACATACACACAACATATATACACATAACAAAATAAATTTTAAAATAAAAAATATTAGGCCAAGAATGCTGATAACTTGGCCAAAAAATAAGCACTCTGTCTATTCAAAGGGCTTATATATTTTTACTTATTAATTTTGAATTATTCATATTCCAGAAGATGGTAACATCAACCTGTGGAAAATCCAAGAGCTAAAGTAAACGTGATCACACACTGAATTTTCCCAGTCTTGTATGATTTTGGAATACTGATCAGGTCTATGGGAGAGCAGACTTCACATTGTCCATTCCTTTTAGAATTTGTGTTAGGATTGGTGGTGTTTTACTACTGTTAGTGTTTATATTTTCACCAATAAAAATGTATGAAATAACTTATATTTTTTTGTTAAATCTAATTTTCATTGTAACCAGCAACCCTTCTAAACTTCTGTATTTCCACTATTGGAATGTAATAATGATGGAAGTTGTGGAGAAACAAAGAAGGAACTAAGAAGAGAACTATGCAGTAACCTTTATATATACTAAAGAAACAAACACATTTAATGAGACATATAATCACAAAAAAGATCATTGACTCAATAATCTCGGTAGACCTTCAACAATGACTGCATAGTAAAATTATCTAGAAAGCTTTCAGGAAGTAAGAAAGTTCTTTTCCAACCCTGGAGAATCAGGTATCCTTGGTCTCATGTGACACTGACCAATATAATTATTCTAGAAAAAGATGGTATCTGTGTATAGGAAAGCCAAGGATTAAGGTGATATGAACATTTTCCACATGACTTTAATGTATAGCCAGCTTTGAAAACCACACATCTAAAGAAAACTAAGAGTCTTGTTTATTCTGCATCACTTGTGTATATTCAGTAAATATGCTGTTGAACAAAGTCATCTCTGGTTCATTTTTCGTATCTGTAAAATAAAGATAGTATTAATTTCCTGTTTGCTATGAAGACCCTCAGTTTCTAGCTGAGTAGTTTGTTTTACTGAAAATCCATAGTATTCAGTTAATCATCTTTAAACCAGGGACTCAGAAACCAAACCACAAACTTGAAAGAGGCTAATACATGGCCAGAGAATTGGAAAAGCTTTTTCTTCAGGATAGTTCTCACAGCATCTTTTTTTAACTCACTTGTAGTACTAGTTTAAAAAGTAATTCCCAACTCCATTCCAGAAACTGAACTCTATCCTCCAGGAAAGGGAGATAGAGGATGGTTTATTATTATTATTGCTGCTGTTGTTGTTGTTATTTACAATTCATTCATTTTGTATCCCAGTTGTAAACCCCTCCCTCATCTCCTCCCTGTCCCACCCTTCTTCACTCTCCTTCACCTATCCCTCTTCCCTAGTCCACTCTTAGGGGAAGTCCTCCTGTCTCCTCCAGCTCCTTTTATATCCCCCTTCTTCCATAAGACTCCCTGTGCTCTGTCCAAAGTTTGGCTGTGAGTCTTTGTATCTGCTTTGATCCCCTGCTAGTTGGAGTCTTTTAGAGGACATATGTAGTAGACTCCAGTCCTGTTCCCTCTCTTCTACCCCTTCCGGTGGCTATCCTGTTTCACCTTCTGAATGAGAATTAAGCATCTTCCCTGGAGTTCTCCTTATTGTTTAGCTTCTTTAGGTTTGTAAATTTTAGTATGTTTATCCTATGTAATAGGCTAATACCCACTTATAAGTGATTATATACCATGCAAGTCTCTGCTTCTGCGATACCTCACTCAAGATGATCTTTTCTAGTCACACCTATCAGAACGTCTAAGATCAAAAGGTTAAGTGACAACACATGCTGGAGAGGATGTGGAGAAAGGGGAACCCTCCTCCATTGCTAGTGGGAATGTAAACTTGTACAACCATTTTGGAAATCAATTTGGTACTTTCTCAGAAAACTGGGAATAGTGCTACCTCAAGACCCCGCTTTACCATTCCTGAGTGTAGATTCCCAAGATGCTCAACCATACAACAAGGACATTTGCTCAGCTATGTTCAGAGCAACCTTATTTTTAATAGCCAGAATCTGGAAACAGCCTAGATATCTCTCAACCGAAGAATGGATACAGAAATTGTGGTACATTTACACAGTGGAATACTACTCAGCTATTAAAAACAAAGAAATCATGAAATTTGCAGGCAAATGGAAGATGGTTTTAAAATAATCTGTCATTCAAAGTTTTGAACACATGAAAACCATAAAGCTATGGGTACTCATGGGACTATCATAAAAATGTTTGATACAAGCATACTTTGTGTAATATGTAAGACAAGTCAAACATATTTATATTCAAAAATATTTATGATTTTTTTTTCTGGTGAAATCTTACAAAATCCTTTTCCTACATTTTTCAAATATATAATATGTAATTGTTATCTATAATTACTTTACAATAAACTAATACCTCAGACCTTCTTTCCCCCATATTACTGTTAATAGTACACATGATCAACCTGTGTATAGCCTTTCCTTGTTTCTTATTGTCCTTGGCCTCTGGTGATGACTATTCTACTCTAAATTTCTATTGTATTAAATATTTTAGATTTAACATAGGAGGATAGACACATAGTACTTTTCATGCCTGGCTTATAACAGCTAACAGTTAAATTCAGTTTCATCCATGTTGTCACAAAGGACAGTAATGACAGAATAACATCCTATTTTATTTACCATGTTTTATCCATTCATCAATTGATGACCACTTTAGTTGTTTTATGTTTTGCCTTATTGTGAATATGTAATAAACCTGGGAATACAAATATCTTTTAAGTACTGATTTCAGTTCCTTTGTATATACACTAATTATGCATTTGTAAAAAATAGTAATTATTTTCTTATTTTTTAAGTGCCCTCCCTACTTTAAATGGCGATTATAATTTAGGTTTCCACCAACATTTTCTCCACATCCTCACCAGCATTTCCTAGCCATGGGCTTTTATTTTATTAGTTATTCTTTTTGGGGTATGGTGGCATCTCCTTGTTCTTTCAGTTTGCATTTACCTGATGACTAGTGATGTCCTATAGTTTTATATACTTATTGGGCATTTGAATGTCTCCTTTTGGGAAATAACTAGAAGAGTTTGTTGTTGTTAAGGCTTTAGAGTTCTTTATTTATTCTGGATATCAATTGCTTATTATAAATATTATCATAAATTGCTTATAAATATTATCATAAATATTTTCACTTGCGTTTTTGTCACATGCTCTATGCCAATGTAAATATTTAATTTTTAGTACATTTTGACTTGATCAATTTAACTGGCAAGAGACAGAAATCTACCTACATTTTTATGTAGATAATCAATTTTCCTAACATCATTTATTCGAAAGACTGTTCTCTGTCTAATGGATGTTCTCAGTACCCTTATCAAAACAGCCATTTAAATTTTAATGTGACCTGTTGATCGCTGGTCATTAACAGTGTATGTTAATACTCAATGCCATTGCTTTTATTTTACCCTCTAAGTACTCTCTTGTTCCTCTAAATTTTTGTTCAGCAAATTTTAATATGTTTAATTATTATTAATTTGTCTTCCTGTAAGTGATCAAGTTGCTGTTTGATTTACAAGAAGGTGATTCTTGTTATCCTTAACATTTATGTGGTACCAGTTTGTTGCCTCATCTCTAGAATTGTGCTGATTTTATAGTTGTCTCATGGAAGTTGTTACTCTTCGTCTGACCAAGAAGAAAATGGAAGAATGATGATATTTAGAAAATAAGTTTATCAGCTGCTTCTCATTCTGATGTAGAAGCAGGATAGTTAGGTAGCTGTTATACAGCTTCATTTATAGTTTTTTGTTGTTGTTGTTGTTTTGTTTTGTTTTTTTTTGTTTTTTTTTTTTTTACTCAACTATTATGTTGGAGTTCTGCTTTCAACTCTTATCCTATGCATGGGGCTTACTAGTTCTCTTTTCTAAAAGTTGTGGGATTATTTTGGTAACTAGTGAACTACAGTGATTGATTACAGGTAAGGGAGTAAATTTTTGCAATTTTTCAATTAAAGCTTTGGGACATTTCAGGGTTTGATTGAGTATAAAAATAACAGCAAACAAAAAGGCTGTTGAAGAACTATGAATAATAAGTTTGTTAGCCATGTTAAGTTTGAGGTCCCTACTATATGGTGTGTATAGCAACAGTGGGCAGTCAGATAGCAGATTCTTAGGAAAGAAATGAAGACTGTAAATATAGTGTAAGGAATTCTGGGCATTAAATTTAGAGTCATGAGCTCCAAGATTCTAACTCTACTATTTGCTTCTGAGACTATCAGCAAATGATTGTATCTTTTGGGACCAATCTTTCCTAGGACATTTTATGTATAGGGTTTCTAAATAAATTCTTTACCTGTCGCTGACATTATGGGATTCTAAGTATTTCCGTACTGACCTTTTAAAATTCTATCATTTTTATAGCATATACAATGAGAAACTATGTATGCCATATCTGCAGAATCACCTTTACATCTTTACATATGTTCCGGTTCCATATGCAAGGAAGTGAACATCAAATTAAGTAAGTGTTTTTTCTTACAAAAGAAATACATTCTTATGTTATCAAAGACCAAAGTTTCTATTCAAATACTCTTTAATATATTTTACAAACTTTCTAGATATTTATTTTCCTATGACCTGACTGTAGAAGTGATGGGTGGTATTTAGGACATATTACACAGTAGTGCCAAGGATATTTTCTTATCACAGTGGTGAACTGGCAAATCTGTCTGGCAAATTGGTACCCCTTCTGAATAGACATTATTTTTTCTGTGTAGACCTGCTAAAAGATCATTTTTTTCAGGGTAGCCATGCAAATTCAAAGCATCTCCAAAAGGTTCTCTTAGTTCCAAGATTTCAGTGATCCTATCATCATCTTTATAGTGAGGTATAATGATTAAGAGCAAAAGCCATGCTATTATAGCTAAGATATAGAACCCAGATCCATTTTTAGTAAATATTAATATATGGTTTTAAGAAGAGGAGAAGTTAGTGGACAGTTGCTAAGTAGCTAATTTTGGTAGTAGAGCAAAGGGACAGTTTTGTTTTGTTTTGTTTTGTTTTGTTTGATTTCTTGATCTTAAAATCAAAGCATAAGATTTATTATTTTATTCTATAAGAAAGTATAGTATTTGAGTGTGGTTACTTAAGAGCTGTCTTAGTTACTTTTGTATTGCTATGACAAAACACCATTATCAAGGCAACTTATAAAAAGAAGCATTTAATTTGGCTTAACGGTTCAGAGGGATAAGAATCCGTGATGACGAAGCAAAGGTCTGGTTTTGATCTACAAGTAGGAAGCAGAGAAAAATAGAACACTGGGAATAGCCAGAGTCTTTGGAAACCTTAAGTTCTGTCCCTAATGATACCTCCTCCAACAAATTCTAATTCTTTTCAAACAACTAATTCTTTTCAAACAACTCTATCAACTGGAGACCAAGTATTCAAACATGGACCTATGGGGGTCATTCTTATTCAGTCTACTACAGGAACTAGATGTCAGACACAAAAAATGAAAATACGCTTTTGACATTAAAAAGAAAGTGTTGAGGTCTTAAGTAAATAGTCCATCACATCTATATATCTATTCAGATAATTTATTAGGACATTGGTTATTAATGTTGATTATCCACACATACTGACATGTATTAACATTTGTTCTATTACAGTAGCATGTGCTATTCCTACTCTTATGTCCATCCTCCATTTTATCCCAGGCCTGAAAATTTTTATTAGCATGTATTTCTTATGTAAAATAATTAGTTTTGTTGTGACATTTTCATGTATTTATGAAACACACTTGGGTCATATTCATTCTCCCATTATCCTAATAACCTCCCTCTTTCCTAATGCTCCCCCTTTTACTGTGATGGGAATTTTAAAAAAATATCTAGATCCCATATATGAAAAAAATAGCCAATACTTGTCTTTCTGGGTCTGGAGTATTTCACTTAGTACCATAATCTCCAGGTCTATCCTTTTTTCTCCAGCAAAAATACGATTTTTATTTTTCTTTGTAACAGTATTCCTTCACTCATCACAACATACTTATTATCTGCTGGTGGTCACCTAAACTATTGTGTAATGTGGCTATTGTAAATGTTATTGCATTAAATATCACTGTGTAGGCATCTCTCTTGCAGACCATGTAGGATTCTTTTGGGTATATGTCTAGGAGTAAAATAGTTAGAACATATGGTAGTTACACATTTAGGTTTTTAGGAACCTCCATATAGATTTTCATAGTGGCTGCACTAATTTACATTCCCACAAAAATGTATATTTGTTTTTTCTCTTCATTCTTTTCAACATTTCTTGTCTCGTATTTTTCTATCTCTTTTTGTTAATTAGTAAATTTTGTTCCTTAACAATTTTGTGCATATACAGTATGTATTTTCCTTTCTATTCTCCCTACCTCTCCTATTTCCCTCCCACCCTACTGTCCCCCTTCCCTATAAGTCTCTTTTCCCAGTTCACTATTTTTTGTTCTGTTTAGTTAGTGTTCATTAGAGTTTAATTAGGGCCGTTTGTGTGATCTTGAGTTTGGAACTTAGCACCCTTCTGGGATCACCATTGGGTACATATCTGGATAATATGCTTCCTCCTGTCCAAGAATCTGTTGGTTGACAGTGGATCAACAGTATGTGCTAGGACTTCGTGAATCCTTTTTCTCTCCATAAGCTGACTGTTAGGAGGGCTCAACTTATGTGGACCCGGTAACAGTTTAAACATCTTCTATAAGTTCATAGTTGTCACATCTGTGTTGTGCTTGTAAGATAGAATTTTCAGCTCTTCTCCCTATTCAACAGCACTTAATTCTTTCTGACCCATTTTCAACATTATCCTTTAACTCTTAACAAGTTAGTGTACATGTCTAGCATAGGGCTGAGCCTTCATTCTTAGCAACTTGTGTAGCCATGACTCTGCATTTATCTGCAATGGAGAGAATTTTCTGTTTAAGGCAGAGAATAGCCTTTGTTGGTGTAAACATAAATATTTATTGAATAATTTGATGCTATATCAATTTAGCCCAACCATCTTACCATCACTTTCCAGGGTCTAAGACATCTTCCATTGTGGGTTTTGGAGTGGATTTATATAGGCATAAATTCCCCTTACAAAGCAACAAAGCAAGCCCCAAAATCCGTTTAGAAAGCAGCTTTTCTCTTCTCTCTAATGTTCCCCTTGCTATTCAGTTCCAGAAGATACTGAATAAAATATATATTTTGAAACTGTTGAATCAAATACTATATGCTTAGTCCATTTGTTTTATGGTTTAGTTTAACTCTAAAGTCACTTTGTTGATCTTTTTAGTCTGGACCATGTTTATATATATAGTGAAACAGTGGAATTTGGAGGTATTAAAATGCATGAATTTATTTATCAAGAATAAGGCTGGACAACTTTTTAAAATGGTTCCTCATTTCAGCAACAAGGAATTCAGCTGAGGCATTCAGATTTCTTTGGGGGCAACTTACTAATTTAGATCACACATGGGTCTTTATCTTAGACTGTATTTTTTTCAAGGTGCTGGTTTCACCAAGAGTTTCCTTCTTTCTTCTGCTTAAGGTCCCACTGGTGAATATTTCCCCTTCCCTAGTTTATTGCTATACACTCAACATTATGGTTGTCTTTTTAAATCTCTACTACTTCTAACATTCAGGGTTCTCGTATCTTACTTTGTTATTGTCTGCTGTTGCAGCCTGGTATTTTTTCACACATTCTCTTTACCTGGAACTGTACACCTGTGATTTTATTTCAATATCATGAAGAAAATGAACATCTTGGTGTCCCCACTCTGCCATTTTCTAAGAAGTGTTTTTGTATAAAACTTGTGAAATTCTAGAGAGATATTTGACTATCCGTACTATGTCCTTTGAGCATCAAATTCATGTTTTTATAGTTTTTCAGTTTTTGTTTCAACATTTTTAGGTTTTGTTTAAACTAATGTTTTGGAGCAAGGAAAATATCCATAGTAATCAAGACTTTCTATTATTTTCTTTGTAGAGAATTGCATGTTATCAGTCAAGTGAAAAATTCAAAGAAGATACAAGAATCTTACCAAAGTGAATGTGTAGATTACGTCAAAGTGAAGAAATCTAGAGAATTGCAGTTCAAGGCTCATTTCAGGAAGATGGAGAATAATTACATAGAAGCCCATGGATACAGAGATATGGTTTATTCCAGATCCAGACATAAAATGCTTGAACAAAAACTTCCACCTGAAAATCTCTGGACACACCCAGGACCATACAATAATTCTCAAGCAGTAGAAGAGCAGTTACCTCATTGTTTACCAGCACAGTCAAAGACATATGATTCTTTCCAGGATGAACTTGAAGATTACATCAAAGGGCAGAAGGCCAGAGGACTCGATCCCAATATTAGTTTTAGACAGGTGACAGAAAGCTATAGGTATAAGGATCATAGGAACAGAGAAAGGGTTGATTCTGGACATAGACAAAGGATGTGTGAGGAAAGATTTTCATTTGAGATGCCACAGACCCACCAGCAACAATACAATGGTTCACAAGTGGAGGGGCAGTTACCTCAATGGTTACCACCTCACTTAAAGAGGAGAAATGATGATTTCCAAGATGAATTTGATGATTATAGCATGCGGGAATCTAGAGAATTCAAGCTAAAGACTTCCTTTAGAAGAATTGATAGCTCTTTTGAAACCCACAGTTACAGAGAAATGGTTGACAGAAGACCCAAGCACAGAATATTTGAGCAAAGACTCCCATGTGAGACTTTTCAGACTTTCACAGATCCATGCAGCAGTGCACAAGCAGTAGAAAACAATTTACCTCATTGTTTCCCAGCTTATGAGAGACAAAAAAGCCAAGATTCTGATAGCGTCTATCAGCTTACCAGAGATTATTTCTCAGAAAAACCTGTTCCCCTGAGCCTTAGTCAGCAGGAAAATAATATTGGCTCATACTGTGTAGAATACAATGTTTACAAGCAGATGCCCTCAAATGACAGTTCTAGTGTGCATGAAACAAGTCATAAGAGGCGACATCAGAAGAGAAGACGACATGTGGGGGAAGGGAAAGAAAAGCCAGAAAAGGAACAGTCCAAGCGTAGAAGGAAAAAGAGCTATCAGGATAAAGATTTAGACAAAGACAAGAGTATCGAGCAAAATAAAGGAGAGGAAGAGAAAGCTAGAGTAAGTTCTGAAAAAATCAAGCATCGAAAAAAGAAAAGAAAGCATGAAACAACCTCAGAGAGAGAAGAACGAAAGCACAAGAAAGAGAAAAAGAAATCTGTGGAAGAAAGAACAGAAGAGGAAATCCTTTGGGATGAGTCAATTCTTGGGTTCTAAAATTATAGTATACCCAAGAGGAGCTAAAAGAAAACAATATTGATTTAGATAAAGAAAGGAATAATCGATGAAGTCAAGGAAACGTAGGTGCTGTATCAGTTCAGAAAACCTTTGGGTTGTTTTGTTTGCAAAAATTGAAATTGACCATAAGAAACAATATACAAGATATATAAATGAAGCCTTTAAAGAACTGTTTTGAAGTAAACCTACTCAAGGATTTTGAGTTTTTAGTTTTACATACAGAAGAGTGAATCGAGAAAATCAGTGTGAAAAAAAATCTGAGGAAATCAGTGGAGAAAATTTAGGCAAAATAAAGTACTTTAAATGAAGAGAAGAAACTTCAATTTGTGGGTTTCTCTCTTTCTGTGTGTGTGTGTGTGAATGTGTGTGTATATGTGCATACAAACATATATGTATGCATGTGAATATGTATATGTGTAATGTGTGTATGTGTCCTCTGCTCTGCTTTTCTCCTCACTTTCCTCCTTTCTCTTTCTGTCACTCCCTCATTTCAAAATTTATTGAAAGAAGAACCACAAAATCTAAATGTAGCTTTCAAAAAGCAAGAACATAATACTAAGAATGAGAGAAGAAACCTGAAGAAAAACCAGAAGATTCAGTGCTTTCTATTTTGCAATTGTGTTCCCTTAAGGTTGAAAACTTTTGGTTTCATGCAGTTTGTGTGATTTGTGTCTTTGCACATGTGTACAGTTAATCACTGACAAAAGCCAGATGAAGTAAACTTATTCAATGTGTTTTTTTAAGTTACTTTCTCTGATTTTATAAGAAAGAAAACTGAATCTATTACATATATATATTATATATATTACATATTATATATACTATATATATTATATATATTATGGTTTTCCTAAGTAGAGATGTTTCTTTGTCCATCAAGTTGCAATTAAAATGAGTTTTTTACTCATGGAAACAATGTGCTTATAATAGTGAATTGCAAAACAGGCTACAGCCATACCATCCTGAACTTTTCCAGTCTTGTTTGATTTTGAAACAATTGTCAGGCCTGTGGGAGACCAGACATCACAGAGTCCATTCCTTTTATAATTTGCATTAGGATTGGTGGTGTTTTGCTACTGTTGTGTGTTAATGTTTCTGTTTTTGCCAATGAAAATGTATGAAACAACTTAGAATTTTTTGTTATATCTAATTTGCAGTGTATTTTTCTATTTTCTAGTTCCGAAAGTGGAAAATTAGTGTATAATAAATTAGATGATATATACTTTTAAAATGTTCTCCAAAAGGGCTGAAATCAGTCTATATTCTGAAAAATGTTTATATTAAAGTGTTTTAATTTCTAAATACTGCTTTTTGGTCGTTTCTATCAAAAGATGATTGTTCTACCCAGGTAAGAACAAGAAATGGAATTTGCAACTAATTCTCTATGAAGACCACACAGTGAAGCTGTAATTTCATTTAATCTACAGATTGCTTAGTAGAAGTTAGCATTCAGTTTTCAACTCAACTTCAGGTTAGAAAAAGACCGTCAACTTGAAAGTGAAGTAGAAAAATGTTATAAGTGGTAAAGGACTGTGGGAGTGTCTTAAATTTAAATTGTTTGATTTGAATTTTTTTTGTTACTGCACTGTGTTTTATGATCACTACTTTCTGTAAGCATTTGAGCATTACTCAGCCATAGTATGCAGTATAAAGGCATATGATTCCAAATCCCAGGATTATGATCTAGTTGTAGTATCAGGTTGCTATATGATTTTGCAAAGATACCACCAAAAATCCAATATGCAGTCCTGAGACAGAAAAAATGAACCATAATAGGCCTTGTATATGCTAATCCAAAATCATGCCAAATATGATAGTGATATATTTGCATTTGGGTAAGCTATTTTTTTTCCTGAGGTTTGAATTAAGGGCAAGTAGTTGCTAGAACATAATGATGGTTGGCTTTATATCTCAATGAGTGAATGGTTCTAAATGATGTTAAATAGTCATAAAATCAATTTCTTTTCCATGAGAATTTTAGTATAACATGAATTTATATCAGTGCATTAACCCTGTCTTTTAACAAATATTTGATATACTGATGAAAAAACTGGTAAGTCAGATAGAGAAAGACTGAATTTCTAGCCACAATGCTGGCAAATATTCTTTGTCTGAGCACACATGTGCACATGCAAGTGCATACACACATACGTACACATTGTGTTCACATAAAATAGTAGAAGTCAGTTGGATTGGTATAACATTTAGAATTGGTAAGTTATATTTGAATGTCCATTTTGTGTTCAAATCTGTTGGAGACATTTAAAACTATATCATATTTTGTGAGTGGACAGGGTGCAGATGCAGATGAGAACAGGAGGGATCAAGTGGGGGGAATGAGGGAAGGAGAGAGATGATAAACTGGGAAGACTGTTGGGGGTGGGGTGTAGAACCCTACTGCAATGGAAACTCCCAGGAATCTATGATGGTAATGCAAGCTAAGACTCCTAGTAATGGGGATATGGAGCCTGAACTGGACATCTCCTGTAACTAGGCAAGGCTTCCAGTGGAGGAACTAGGACACCAATTCAGTCATAAAACCTTCAACCTACAATCTTACCTACCTCCAAAATATGCTGGGATAATGGTGGTGCAGAAATTGTGGGAGTGACCAACCAATGACTGGTCTATCTTCAGACTCATGCCATGAGAGGGATCCCACTCCTGACACTGCATGGATGGCCAGGAACCAGATGCTAGATAGCCCAGAGACCTAGGATAAAACCAAACATGACTTGAAAAAAAATCAAAGAAATGATTATTAATATTAATTTACTATACTCATATTACAGTGCCTAACACAATTGTCATCAGAGGAATGATAAAGGAAACAGGAACTGATGGAAGCAGATTCAGAGCTCCATAGCCAACACTGAGGAGAGCTAGAGAAATAGACATCATCAGGAGAACAAAGTCAATTAAGCAGAGACGGGAACACAGAGATTGGAATAACAATTATGGACCCTGTATAGGTCTGAGCTAGATCCACTGTTATGCATATATGGCTTGCTATTGTAGGACTACTAACAGTGGGAACAGGGTCTGTTCTACCTTTCACCTTTGCTTGGAGCCCGTTTACTCCTACTGCATTGCCTAGTCCAGCCTTGACATAGGGTTTGTGCCTAGATTTGTTGTAACTTGTTACTGGATGTTTGGTTCATATTTCTGGGAGGCCTGCACTTTTTTGAAGGAAAACAGATGAGTAGATTAGTGGGGTGGGCGTGCGGACTGGAAAGAGTGGGAGGACGGAGAAAAAACCAAGAAAAAAAAATTTAAAAATGAAAAAACTGCCATAACATACACTAAGGTAAAGAACTAATGTGTTCCTTTCAAAATATATAGATTCATTTATTGCATTAAAATTAGTCACAGTTTTATTAGGCTAAAACAGCATTGTTTTTCAAATTAAACATATTTAAATCTTGTATTGTGCATGGAGAGAAAGAAAAGTTGTAGTGTTGATTAGTTTCAAGGAAGTCACCGGTTGCTGATTCTAGAAAAGGGATTTTCAGAGATTTTAAGAATACATGTTCTGCTCCCTAAAATGTTATGCTACCCAGAACACTTAACATCCTGGTTGAAGCTAGTGCCAAGGACCTGGAGTCTAACTTTGGCACATTTGCTTTGTTCTATTGCCTGTTTCTGAGCACAAGACTATATTCAAGTTAGGTTGCAACTGTGAGTTACAACACCTTTGGCAAACCTCAGTCTTCAAAAATATTTACATTATGATTCATAACAATAACAATATTATAGTTATGATGTAGCAACAAAAAGAGTTTTGTGATTGGTGGGGTCACCACAACATGAACTGTCACAACATTAGGAAGGTTAAGAACCACGTTTTTAAGTGAAGTAAATGACTAGGAAGAGATTTGGTGGTGCTTCGGATCTAAAGTCAAATGATCTTTGACCAGACTACAAGAGGTCTAGAGGCATCTAAAATCAGCTGCACATGAAAGGGGCAATCATGAATAGAGAATATACATACATCCAAAGAGGGGCATCTCATATGAGGCACTCATGACAATAGATACGAAAATGGAGGTATGATCAGGTTAGGTCAGACCTGAATGATATTGACAAGTAAATGAGAGCTAATGTATTAATCACATATTAACATGTTTTGAATGACTTCTATCCCCTATAAATTCATGTCCTTAACAATTAATTCATAACTCATGAGAGTTGAGATGGGAGCTTAAAGTAATATGTTTAGACCGTGAGAGGCCTGTCTTCACAAATATATTAATTCCAATATAAAAATGGGGCTTGTGGAAGTGACATCATGTTTTGGCATTTTGCCATGTGAAGGAGAATGTTCGCCCCTTGGAGGGTGTAGCATTCAACACAACATCTACACCATCTTGGAAATGAAGTTTGGGCCCTTACCAGATGCTTAACATGCAAGCAGCACTTCACCAGTCTTCATAAATAAGAAATGTACCATTCAGTACATATGAACATTTTTAAATATTCTGCTGTAAAAATAAAGTGGGCTATATGACAGGTTTATTGAGTACTTCTAAGCAGAAAGTATTTGTTATACAGAAATCATTTCCTATAATTACGCTGATATACTGAGAGTAAAAGAATGGAATAAAATATTCCAGTGAAGTGGAAGCCAAAATATATCAAACATAGCATACATTTTCATAAATTGAACTTAAAAGTATAAAAGTAAACAAGAAAAGTTATAAAATGATATCAAACAGTTTCTTTTTCCTTTTTGGTTCTAAAGTACCTAGAATTGTACCTAGGGTCTCATCCATGCCAAGAAAGTACTCTACCACAAAGCAATCATGCTCATAATGATAAAATTGATCAATTCAACAAAGGTAAGATACATATACTTACTAAAATTAAATCATTAAAATTTTTAAGTGGGATATAGATGAGTATAATAGAATATCAGTAGAGTACTTCAACAGCATATTTTAAGCCACCACCACACTATCAGAGTTAAGTTGAATGCTAAACCAAATAGACACTCATAAAATATTCTGAATACACATTCTTTTTTAATTTATTGAGTTTTTGATTGATTATTATGATTTATTCACTTTAAGCAAGCAAGTGAAAGACCTTTTCAAAAAAAACTTCAAGTCTCTGAAGAAAGAAATTGAAGAAGTATCAGAAGATGGAAAGCTCTCCTGTGCTCATGGATTGATAGAATTAACATAGTGAAAATGGCCAGCTTGCCATAAGCAATCTACAGATTCAATGCAATTCCCATCAAAATACCAACACAATTCTTTAAAGACCTTGAAAGAAAAATTCTCTACTTCACTTCGAAAAAGAAAAAAAACCAGAATTGCCCAAATCATTCTGTACAACAACAGATCAAGTGGAGGCATCTCCATCACTGATCTCAAGCTGTACTACAGAGCAATAGTAATAACAACTGCATGGTACTGGCAAAGAAACATAATGTTGGATCAATGGAATCGAGTAGAAGGCCCAGAAATTAACCCACACACCTACTGATACTTGATTTTTGACAAAGAAGCCAAAGCCATACAGTGGAAAAAAGCATCTTCAACAAATGGTGCTGGTTTAGCTGGATGTCTACATGTAGA